CTGGTCTTTCGACAAATGGCCCCCGTCTGAAAACGCTGGTTTCTTCCCGTCCCCGTTCGGTGGGCACGCGGAGCATTCAAACTTTTTCGCCCCCGTGCGCGCATCGCCCCAGAAAAAAAAACAAGGGGTCGGCGGATGTGGCGTAAGCTTGAAGATAATATTCGTAGGCCGCAACCCCCCCGAGGGACCACCTTAACGCTGGTTGAATCGGATCGAATCCAGGCCGCGCGGGCGACAGACTAGCCTGGGTGGAACAGCTCCTGGTGCAGATGTTGGTGGTAGCAGCAAATATTCAAACGAGAAATTTGAAGACCGATGTGGAGAAGGGTTTCACGTGAGCAGCATCTGGACGTGGGTTAGTCGATCCTAAGACAGGGGAGGTGGCCAAAGTATCGCCGACAGGCACCGCATGGTCACTGCCTGTAATTCGGTGCGCGCCGGGGGACTTCCCGGTGCCTATCGGCACCGGCCATGCTGGCGGCGGCAGCTTCGTTCTGTGTTATCGACGCACGGCGGGCCGGGAGCTGTTGGAGCTGATCGAGGTCCCCTCGCATCGTTCATTGCGACACGGAGTAATTCGTGGAGTGGTGGGCTAATTCGACTCAGCTGGGTGGCCACACGTGTCCGGGGGCCCATCTGACCCGTATTCATCATTCCCCACGCATGCAGTCACCAGCATTGCATGCCAGCCCGCCGAGCGAGCTGGTCCGCGATCCTAAGACAGGGATGTCCTGCACACGCGGGGTTTGCCTCGTCTCTCGAAAGGGAATGGGGTTACTATTCCCCAGCCAGGACGTGAATACTGTATGACGACGTCAGAGAATTCGGCGGCGCAGGGGGGAGCCGTGGGAAGCGTTGAAATTGGATTGCCTGGAGATGAGAATAATTGGCGGGTGAAGCCCCTTGTCTTGCAAGGTGTCCGGTGCGCTCCCAACTGTCCTTGAAAAACCAAAGGAAAGAGTTAGTCTCACCCCTGGTCGTACTCATAACCGCATCATGTCTCCAAGGGTAGCAGCCTCTGGTTGCTAGGAGAAAGTAGGTAAGGGAAGTCGGCAAACAAGATCCGTAACTTCGGGAAACAGGTTGGCTCTGAGGGTTGGGTATAGGGGTCCTTGGATTGATGTTCGAGCTGGGTAGAAGCTATTTGACGCCTTCTGGTGGATAGTGGATTCGCGCATGGCGAGAATTGCCGTTCAAGGAACGCCTTCCTGGGATTTCCCTTTGCAATGAACAACCAAATCAGAACTGGAGAAGACAAGGGGAATCCGACTGTTTCATTTAAACAAAGCATTGCGATGGCTTCAAAAAGGTGTTGACGCAGTGTGATTTCTGCCACGTGTTCTGAATGTCAAGGTGATGAAATCCAAACAAGCGCGGGTAAACGGCGGGACCAACTATGACTCTCTTAGGGTAGCCAAATGCCTCGTCATCAAATTAGTGACGCGCATGAATGGTTTAACGAGATTTCCAACTGTCCCTATCTACTATCTAGCGAAACCACAGCCCCGGGAACGGGCTTGGGGGAAAGAAGACCCTGTTGAGCTTGACTCTAGTCCGACTTTGTGAAATGACCTAGGTGTAAAATAAATGGGAGCTTCGGCAACCTTGAAATACCACTACTTTTAATGTCATTCTACTTATTCTGTTAGACTGAGACTTGAGCCACAGCGTGTTTTGGATCTAAGGTTGTCTTTTCTGATGGCTGATCTGTCATGAAGACATAGTCAGGTTGGGGGTTTGGCTTGGGCGGCACATCTGCTAAATCATAACGCAGGTGTGAGCACAAATCTCATGAGGACCAAAAGGGGAACAACTGACCCGATCATGGTTTTCAGCGCGAATACAAACTGTGAAAACATGGTCTATCGATCCTTTAGGTCTGAGAAATGTTCGTCTGGAGGTGTCAGAAAAGTTACCACAGGGATGACCCCTCTGCGGTGAGCGTTTTCCCTTCTCACTCTCCCCGCCCCCCGCCCCAGTACGTCCAGGGATATCTCTGGGGCTTGTGGCAGCAAAGCGTTTCTAGCGTTCGTGTGTTTGGTTTTCTCCTCCTTTGCTGTCTGCCCTCCCTATCATCGAGACGCAGAAGTCCCAAAGTGTCGGGTTGTTCACCCGCCCTTTGAACACCGTCCTTGGCTTGGGGTCGCCGTGCTGTGCAATACCGAACATGGGTGATTGAAATTGGAACTGGTTGAATCACGGTCCCAGGGATCCCGTCAGACCTCCAGTCGTAGGCGGTCAGGGGAGCGGTGGTGTTCCTATACGATGTTCGTGGCTCGTGGTTCGTGTCTCGTGGCGCGTCGATCACGAACCAACCACGACGAACCACGAACCACAAGCCGCGAACCACGAACCACGAACCAAGAACAACGAACCAATATTAACAAACCACGACCCACGATCCACGACCCACGACCCACGAACCACGAAAGACGAACCACGATCCACGAACCACGAAGCAACACATGGGTTTCCCCCCCCTCCCCCCCCCGAAGGTGGT